ATCCAGGGACTCCAGGATCATGACCTGAGCCGAAGGCAGTCGCTTAACCAACTGAGCCACCCAGGTGCCCAAAGATGTCCATTTTAAACAGTAAAGTCCCGATGGACATAAGATAGACGTAAAATGACCTGACCATGGACCTACAGGGATTAAGAACATTTATTTGTGAGACCACTTGGTATTTGGAATGGTCCACCTGTGAAGCCTGTGGGACCAATGTCTATAGCTGTGGGGTCTCAGGATTACATTATAGTTTAATTTACTGCATTTCACAACTCCCTTTACATGGGGAAAGGAATCTCCACAAAGCTCAGACTTCAAATATTTAGAGGAAGTCTGGCATGTCATTTGGTTAATGATGAAAGTGTGACAATGAAGAGAATATTCCACTTACAAGGCTGCAGCCCTGGGAAGTTAGGCAGGGAAATTCTTGTAGGTGAATAATCTCACCTTTATTGCCATAGACCTTGCCTGCAATTCACTGACATTAATATTGGGTGGACAGGTAAATAAAACAAGCAAAGTGGTTGAGAAAATGGCCCCAGGTTACCGGACTATCTGTAGAACCCGGCTTGAATGGCCCTGAAAACTTGCTCTTCTCTGTCTTCAAAGCCCTCATTACACGCCAGGCCGGCCTTATAGGGGTCTAGATTGTGAGAAGGGCTTTGCCCAAGGTCATACAGTGAGTGGGGAGGCCAACCTGGGCCTATAACCAAGACTCCAGCTTCCAGGAGGGCCTCTCACAGACCATTCTCGGCCACATTGTGATCACCTCTCCTCCACCACCGGCCGGGCAATGTTCAGCCTTTAGGCATGAATATATGTTCACCCCGAAGAATCACTGCAATTACATTTTTGAGTCCCAGCTCAAATACCCACCACATTTTTATAAGCATCCTCATCGAAAGTGAGCTTTCTCCGGCCAATGAGCGTGACTTTGGAAAACAGGCTCTGTTCCAAGATTTCTTTTAAGAGCACTCTGCCGGTTTCCCCGCTGGCGCCCAGAATAAAGACAGATTTATTCTGCATCCTGAAGTCTTCCCGAAGCTTCGGCAGCGCCTCAGTCTCGGCCATGCTGCAGAAATAACATCGATAGCGGCTGGTCTTGGGATGTTTAAGGAATGGCCCTTGCTTATCCTGGGGAACAATGGTGGTTTACTTGCTTGGAAAAAGGTATTGTTATTCTCCGCAGTCTGGGCCCAGGGGAAAGTGCTGAATCACCTGCAGGGCGTGACACCCTGGCCATCCCCCGCACCTGAGCCAATCTACGTCTCCGAAGGGGCCCTAACAGGAGAATGCGCCCAGGTGCCATGGCACCCAGAGGCCTCGTTCCCCGACGGTACTCTGGGTTTCAACCCCTCCTTCTTCCGCCCACTGGGGTGCGAGAGCCCAACTCGGTCTCCTGCGCGGAGGGGTTACCTGGAGCCAACCCCCGACCCCGCGTCCTCACAGCGCAGCAGGAGCAGGGCGGCGACCAGTGCCACCGCGGCAGCCGCCACGGCCGCGCTCAGCGCCGCGGGCCCGGCTGTCCCGGCATCACCCTTTCCCGGCGGTTCCCCGTCCCCTCGCCGCATTTGGGTGGTGCCCCTCCCAAGTGCGCCCGGGGGTCGCAGGCGGCTGAGCCCGCGCCTACCGGATTACTTCTTCCGGTGACTTCGCGGCGCTGCTGCCTCGCCCCGCCCAGCGGGGCGGGGCCTGGGGGAGGTCGGGGGCGGGGGGCGCGGACCGGTGTCTGCGCGCTGGGCTTGGCCGGCCGCGAACACGTGCGCAGCGCCAGGCGGTGTCGCAAGCTTGGAGACGGCTCCCTAAACGTCAGCAATCGCGAGCACCCTCTTTCCGCTCTTCCTGTCACCACCCAGGCTAAGCTCGCCCTTATCCATGGCTTCAGCCAATAGACTGGACCTTCGCTGGTCTCTAAAACGTGTCATTTCAGTTGTGTATTGGACAGCTGTCTCAAGTTCACTACGTCAAAACCTTAACCTTTCCCACCCAGCCACCCCAAACAGAAAGGAAACAAACCTACTCCTTGCCTCTCTTGGGTCTCACTGTGCCTATGCGTTCTCAAACTCCTCACCCCTCCCTCCTGTCTCAAGTCAGAAATTTGGGCTGTCCCCTTTGACTCCTTTTTCCTGGTTTTTCCATAGCCCATTTTCTTTTCTTTTTTTTTTTTTTTTTAAAGATTTTATTTATTTGACAGAGAGAGACACAGCGAGAGAGGGAACACAAGCAGGGGGAGTGGGAGAGGGAGAAGGAGGCTTCCCGCCTAGCAGGGAGCCCGATGCGGGGCTCGATCCCAGGACCCTGGGACCATGACCCAACCCGAAGGCAGACTCTTAAGGACTAAGCCACCCAGGAGCCCTTCCATAGCCCATTTTAATCACCAAGTCCCATCCTATCTGCCTTTCAGATATTTCTCTTGTGTAAGTCTCGCTCTCACCATAGCTCACCAGCATAACTGGTTTCCCTGCCCAGGTCCCAGATGGTGAGCCAGGGTGATCTTCCACACCTGATCCTGTGGTTCCCTCTCCCAAGCCAGGTCAGTGATGTTTAGAACATAACAATCTGCACTGGACACGCCCTGGATCTTGGAAGTCCTGGACAGGGAGTTAGAATCACAAGTAGGAATCTAAACTACAGAGATAGATTGTGTTGTAAACATTGGTTATTTGGGGCTGCCCAGCATTCAAACTCTATCCCTATTTTTGGGAATTCCAAAGTAAGTGGGAGGCAGGACACTGCCATACAGGTTTTTCGCTTTGGGGGGAGCAATAAATAGATGCAGTGGAAGCCTGAGATAGGGTTTGGTTGGGTGGGGCAAAGGCATAGTGTAAGGGCATCCTCTGATCTGTCAGCCAACTAATGGTGTGATCATTTCTGTGTTTTGCCTCCGCAATTCCTGCCTGTTTTCAGAGCCTATTCTTTATAGTTTCTGTTATTCTTCCCAAAATTTTGTTTCCTGCTTAAATTACCCAGAGCTACTTTCTCTTGCTTGCAGTTAAAAACCTTGAATGATACAGAGCAGAGTGATTCGTTCCCCAGTGGCCCATCACGGTGCTTAGACCCTTCCCTTTGAGTCCCTACAGCTTTTCTACTAAAATGCAACTTAAAATCTTGTCAGCTAGCGCTGTCTCAAGAATTCATTCATCAAATCTGTTGCAGAGATTATTAACTTCCCTCTAGTGTCCAGTCTTCCCTTCTTCCTTTTTTTTAGTTGTGGCATAATTGCTATACAATAAAATGCACCAGTCCTAACAGTTCAGTTCCACGATTTTAGACAATTGTGTATACACCTAGGTAACCCACCAAAAGAAGATATAGAACATTTCTGTCATCCTGGAATCATACCTTCATTCCTCTTTCTAGGCAATCCCTCCCCATCCCAGAAGCAACCATTTTCTGATCTCTATTAATACAGATTAGTTTTGTCTGTTACAGAATTTCATTAAATAAAATCACACAGCATATACTCTTTGGTACCTCAAGTTTTTCTGCTCAACATAATGCTTTCAAGACTCATCCTTATTGTTTGTAGGGCTGCATTATGACCTTCACAGGCCCTAATGACCTCATAGGCCCTTTCTTAATAAAACATAAAGTTAAAAATTTATATCTTATAACTGTGTTGCTATAAAAACAAATATGTCCATATTAATTAACATTAATAAAATGTTTTCTTCAGCCTAAAAGTTCATTTTTCCTCCTGATTTTAAAGAAATTAGAACATTCTCATGGGCCTGGGCACTCTGCCTGCTGTGCCAAATGAGTAAGCCAGCCCCGGATGTTTCATGTATCAGTACTTTGTTTCTCTGTATTGCTGAGTGGCATTCCATTGTATGAATATCCCACAACATGTTGCATCATTTTCCTGTTGATGGACACTTGGTTTGTTTCCTGGTTTTGGCTATTATGAATAAGGCTCCTATGAACATTCTTGTACCAGTATTTCTGTGGACATACGTTTTCATTATTCTTAGGTAAATACCTAGGAGAGGAATGACCAAAGAGTTCGCTCAGGTGAACATACCATTTTATTCTCCTACCCACTTGGTATCATCAATCTTTTTAATTTTAGTCATTTAGTGAATGTTATTAAATGGTTCCTCGTCTTCCTTTTAGCAAGAGAGTCCCAAGTTATATCTGACCACATGACTGTCCATTTAGAGTCTATATTTCCCAGTATCACTTGCAAGTCAATGTGACTATGTGACAATGTTTTAGGCAATGAGCTACAAGCAGAGATAATATGTACCTGTTTGAATCACATTTCATTTATTTTTGCATTTTTTAAAAGATTTATTTATATATTTGAGAGAGAGAGAGAGGGCATGAGTGGGGGGGGGGCGGTAGGCCAGGAGAGGGAGAGAAAGAATCTTCAAGCAGACTCCCCACTGAACATGGAGCCAGTTCCAGGGCTCGAGCCCATGACCCTAAGATCATGACCTGAGCCGAAATCAAGAGTCAGAGGCCTAACTGATTGAGCCACCCAGGCGCCCCCTGAATCACATTTTAATAAGAAAGTTACCTGCTTTCCCTTCACTTTCCCTTTCTTCCTATCATTAGGCCAGAACATGAATGTGGTACATTCTGAGCCAGTGAGCCAGCTAGTGAGCCAGCTCTGACTATGGGAAGAAAAATACCCTAGAAGATAGCAGAGCAAGAAGTTAGAACCTGAGTTCCTGGATGCCTTTCTAAAACAGAGACACTCACCCACCCTGGACTGCCTGCCCTCCTGTGGGCAGTGAGAGAGAAGTAAACTTCTATCATGTTGGAGCCACCTTAATTTTGTTTCCGCAGCTTAGCCAGCAGTTGCCTAAAATCCTTTTAGTCAATCTTGCCAATGGGTACTTACTGATTTTTTTAATGTGAGCTAAATGCTGTACCAGGCACTATAGATCTTTCCAAGATGAATCAGCTACCAGATACATTTACTCTCACCTGAAAAGGCAAGTTATGAAGAGTTGAAGAGCTAAATAAAAGTACATGTTAACATTATCAAGCATCCCCAAAACCTTCATAGGGTTTTGCACATGCTAGATGCCAAGTGAGTATAGAGACAAGAGATGGAAACTCAGAGAAAGACAAGCCCATGACTTTTCTTCTTTGACAGTTGGCAAGCTTCAAGGCCCTGAGATGATGTGGCATGTCCTAGGCCACAAAAGTCCATGGCAAATGGGAAGAGAAAAGCATAAGGGAAGGAGGGAAAAGGAACACAGAAAGATCCTGGGCGAGAAGACCTACGTGCCAAGTTCAGGTTTGACATCACCTTTACTTAAATGAAGTTTGTTCATTTATCTTGGCCTCCATTTTGTTACCTGTAAAAAGAGAACTGTTTTATTATGTTCATTTTGCTCGAAGGGGCAGAGACTCACCCATGCTAACTTGAGTAAAGATGGTGAATATTGTAAGAATACACATATTGTGTAAGGGAGACAGAATCTCAGAGAAACCTGAAAATATCTGCTGTAGGATTGGGCCTCATGGAAACAGAACTGGAAGGTGATTCTGTGTTAAGGTCAAATGGAGATTCTTTAGGATCGGGGATCCGTGCATCTTCGCTTTTCAGCTATATTTTTAGTTATACCTAATTAAGACTCTTCCTGTTTGAAGCAACTGAAATATCAACTCAAAATGCTTGGAGCAAAAAAGAAAATATGCTGGCTCATGCAAATGAAAAATTAGTGTGTGTGACAGCCTTGGGCATAACCTAGAGTCAGGTCTCAGCCAATGGGGCCAGGACTCAGTCCCTTTGGCTCCCTTAACTCTAGTCTCCTTCATATGATCTTCTCTCAGACCCCACAAGATAACCTGAAGGCTGTGAGCAGCTCCAGCCCTTCACCCTCTGTTTTAGCCAGGGTCAAAGATAGGAAAGATAATGGCACTCCAAGTGGGTAATCTAGGGTAAGTGTACTAAATGGATGGCATTT